CATTTTCGAAATTTCTATTTCAAGGTCCTTGTATTTTGACAACTTTTTGAATATCTTCAAAGATACATTGCAGTCAGCAGGGACTGCCATATCAATAAGGAGGCACTTTTTTGTTTGTGGTCTTTAATAACAATATCTGGCCGGTTGGCCTTGATTGTTCTGTCAGTGTGTATTGTGTAGTCCCATAGAATTGTAACAGGTCCTATCTCCGTAACCGGGTCTGGGTGGTGTTCATACCAGTTTCTTTCAGTTTCCTTCCCGTAGAAGTTGCTTATTATTATTATTATTATTATTCCATAAAAAAATGACGGCAATTGTTAAAAATCTTTAATAGTGAGATTAAACGAAGCAAAAGTTTTGACATAATGTATTAAGATTCAATTGTAAAATCGAGGCCAAGGAACCGTTTCTCCTTCTTTTAAACGCCGTGCCCTTTCAGGACGTAGGCGACCATGGCCCTCCACCTCGTCCTGTCCGTCTTAGCTCTTAATAAGTTTAGTCTTTTTGTTATTTCTCCCAGGCCCTGTTCCTTCATCCATTTGCTCAAGCTCATTAAGTATGTCACGCGTTGCTCTCCCTTGTCCCTCTTTCTCTCTATCCGTCCTGTGAGGATCAGATTTTCCAAGCCCTCCTTCCTCATTTCGTGCCCCATAAATTTCAGCTGCCTTTCTTGATGTTAAGTATAAGTTTATTTTATTTTCATTCTCTCCAAAACCTCTTCGTTGCTCACATGATCGGTCCATGGTATCCTCAGAATCTTTCTGTAGAATCACACTTTTGTTGCTTCGTGTCTCATCTTCATCTTTGAGGAGATTGTCCAGCATTCGCTGCCATACAGGAGGACATATATCATATAGAAGCTCTGTACTCTTTTCTTTGTTCCCAACGAAAATTTCCTGTTTCTTAATACTCTGCTTAGCTTTTGGAAGGCGTCTTTGGCCACCCCAATACGTCTTCGGATCTCAGTGTCGCACTTTCCGTCCTCTGTCAGATAATTTTCAGACGTTCAGTGGTATCTATGATTCATTGATTACTCCTGGTATTATATAAATCGGTTTTTGCTCAATATCTTTTCATGTAAAAAATACCATGTGTTTAATATAACAGTGAAATTGAAATATCTCTCGGAAGAAAAAGATTAGCAACAGAACGACAAAGCCTATTTTCAAGACCAAGATGAGGCAAGACGTTCACTTAACAGAGAAAGGTATCTAAGTACCTCACATGAAAGGCTTGAACAAATAAGACTGCAATCTAAGCAAAGTAGAAGCAAAGGAAGTCATTAAGTAAACGGTTATTTTTGTTCGGAAACTAATTTTGTCTAAATGCAGATAAATATTTTATTTATATAGATTATTAAAACGAATAAGGGAAGTAATCACTGATAAATTTACTAACTTTTGATTTACCTCTCTTCCCACAACAGGCGGGACAGGAAATATATACACTAAATACAGTCGCCTTTTAATATATCTAATTGAATGCCAGAAATTGACGAATTTTTTCCTTTTTTTGCTGTTTAAATTTACTAAAACCTTTTTAGTACAAATTCAAACTAGCTAAAACTCCGTTTTCCAGTGGTTCAAACTTAATGTAATGCTAAAGTTTATTTACAAGATTTGTTTACGTCCTTGGTAAGACGATAAACTGCATCCGCGTCCTGGGTAGAACAATAAACTACATCCGCGTTCTGGGTAAGACGATAAACTACGTCCAACAGCAAGGCCTCTGATCAGGATTTTTCTTTTGGAGCATTAACATCTTGAACATTATTTGAATAAATTCATGCTTGGTCATGCTGCTTCTCAAACTGCTGCCAGCATTAAAAGAGCATGAAGTAAAGGATCCACTTGTGATCGGGCAGTGCGTCGTTGGTTTCGGAAGTTCCACAGTAGGGATACGAGTCTTGAAGATCAAGGTGGTAGAGGATGTCTATCAGCTATTGACAATCACTAGTCGAACAAAATCTATTTTCAAAGTGCCGAAGAAATGTCTCAAAAAATGGGTGTCTGTGTTTCAACTCTATCGGTCCATCTCAAGAAAGATGACCAGAAGAAACTCAGTAGATGATTTCTACATGAACACAGTGAAGTTCTACGTTTTGAAGTGTGTTCGATGATACATCTGGGAAATGATCCATTTTTGAACGAATGGTGACTTTATGATAATCGCAAACGATCCGCTCAATGGCTTGATCATGACGAAACACCAAAACACATTCCAAAACGAAAATGGCACTAACAGATGATTATGGTGACGGTCTGCTGGTCTGGCATTACCCATTACAGCTTTCTGGTATCTAACCAAAACATCTCTGCCAAAGTTTACTGCCAGCAACTGGGTGAAATGCACATTTAGTTAATCAAAATGCGACCGGCACTGGTTAATAGACGAGGTCCAATTCTACTTAAAGGTATAAATAACATTCTAATTCGATGGCAGAAATGTGTATTTTGAGCGATTTAAACACAGTTTAAATACATTGATTGAAGAATAAAAGTCGAATCTAAAATCGTACATTGTTTTCCGAACAACCTGATAGTTTTAATAAGGATTGTAAGCCCATCTGATAACGGAGGAGACGCAACTCCCCTCTCCCGTAAGAAATAAATGTTAGCAAAGGTTAAAGTACTGTATTTGGTTACGTTTAACCGTTTTAATATTTTCAGTAAAACTATAACACACGCGTATAAAACTTGCATACACTGAGGAACTAAAACATTTGATAATTGTTGTGGATTCCGAGATGAAATCCGGTCTCCAATGAATGACAAACGCAGGAATGAAATATAACAAATAAATGTATTTACACAATAATACAATTGGTAATACGGTTAGTAGATCCAGAAATACGGTTAGTAGCAATAATAATATATATACAGTCTGGTAAATTCAGTCTCGAAGTAGGACTTCCTTAGAGTCTACGTGCTTGTAACTGTGACTTCTACAAGCGGTTACCTCACACTATTACTCTACCTCCAACTCAATCACAATCACTGTCTACTCTGACTGTGGGTATTTAACGGCAGCAGTACAAGTACACAAAGGTCGAGTCCACTTGTATGAAAAAGGGGTGGACCCTATAACAATAATAATAAGATGCAGGCTGAACCTCCCACTAAAGAACTCTCACTCTTGATAGGTTTCCTTTGGGATCTGGTTCCAAAATATTAACTGTAGAGTTTTTAACTGTAGCAAGTAATGTGATGGAGGCTTTACAGAGCGATCTTGTTGGTCCATCCCATAAACGCTTAAATTATGAGGTGTTGGTACATGTTGTTGTTGGTAGGTTTTGTTTAGTGACATATGAACCTGTATTACATTACAGCTGTCTGCAATCTATCCAGAAGCATCACTACCGAAATTTACTGTCAGCAACTGGGTGAAATGCACATTCAGTTAAATGAAATGCAAGCGACACTGGTTGGTCGACGAGGTTCAATTCTGCTTCAGGACTATGTTCGGTCACATGTTGCCAAGATGGCACTACAGAAACTCGCCGAATTGGTATAAAAGACTTTGCCGCATACATCATATTCCCCTGGTCTCTCGCCTACTGACTACCACTTTTTCAAGTATCTTGACAATTTTATTAAGTTACGAGCAGTAGAGCCCGGCGTTGCCCGGGGATGTAACAGTAAGAGATAGATCAAGTATCGACCATCATAAAGACTGAAAAATAAAATTGACAAAGATTATTGTTTAAGGTTGACGGACACGCATGTCTTAATTATTTTTTTTTAAGAATTGGTCAAACCCAAACTCAAACAAAAGCATTGTTTTCAATCGTTATGAGTCTACCGATTGAATAGAATTTTATTATAAGCAATTTTCTTGTAAATGGAGTTTTTAAAGCATTCTGAATGTAAAAATAAAGAAAAAGTGTGCAAGACAATAAGAAACACTACCTGCCAAAAAAAAGGTGAAGTTTTGTTGAAATCGGTTGAAAAATGTAGGAAATCCGATCCCATATATAAACGAACACAGACACACACTCACAAACAACCTGGGTTTTATAATAAGTATAACTCGATATGAGTTGTCCCCCTTTCATTCTCATGATGCCTCTTAATCGTGTTTTCAAATTGATTTCGTGCAAAAACAATTGTGTTTTTCCAATTTTTGGCGCTGTTAGAACCACCGCAAGGTAATTTTACGTAGTCCTGTGAATTTTGTTGAAATCGGTTGAAAAATGTAGGAAATCCGATCCAATATATAAACGCACACACACACACACACACACACACGCACACACACACACACACACACTCTGCGTTTTATAATAAGTAAGATTAAGACGTTCTGTTGCAAGGAAGATGCAGAAACTGCATTCAGCATTTTCTTGGCGTCCAAACGTTTAGAGATTTATCGTAAAGGCATAAATAAACTTGTAATACGATGGCAGGAATGAATAGATGTTCAGGGTTTCTATTTTGATGAATCAATCATCTTTTAAAGACATTAATCCAGGAATAAAAGCGGATTATAAATATCGGACATACCGAACAACCTAATACGAAACCGTGGCTTATATAAGGAGACTAAGATTGTTTCTTTTCATGCAATCTCTACAACTGTCTTACTATTTAATTAGGGGGCGTTTAGTGTTTTCTATCTATAGAAGTATGTCGGGGTTCCGTTCTTTAATAGAGCCATTGGAGGAAGGAACGAAATATGGTCAAAAGAATGGCTTAGGCGATGTTCTTTGACTGCCGTTGAATCAGTCCACGACACTAGGTTCTTTGCACTTTTTATTGCCCTCAACTTTTCATATCGTCTCCATTTTTTTTTCTTTCTCTTTTTCTTTTTCATTCGTATTTCTTCTCGAATTAAAACCACTGAATTTCGGGCAGGCAGGAAATAAACTTTTGTTGTTATTGCAGTTGTTTGACCGAATTGTAAAGGCAAAATGAGGACCGACGACAAAGGAATTAGAGACAGAAAGAAAGAGAGAATCAAAAGAAAGGAGAAGAGTTTAGAAAAGAGAAACCGATATGAAATCAGATGCCGAGAAAAAGAAAGAGAAATAGATAGAGAAAGAAAAAGAATCCACCGAGAAACACAAAGAGAAAGGAAGAGAGAAAGGGGAAGAAGTCGCCATATGTATCAGGGTTAGTTTGTAGTTTCATACAATACCGCAAATTGCTAGAAAAGGAAAACAAATAAAAATAATCTGATTTATTAAATAAAGTTATTAGTCTCAAGTTAATGCTTAGCTGAGGTTTGACGATTTAATGGGATTTAGGAAATCTATTAAAATATCATAATCTTATTTTCCCTTTGTTGTTGAACTGATTAAATAGATAAACCATATAACTTAATCCCGTTTTAATTTCAGAACCTTTTACATATTTTTATAGGTGTCATTGACTTGTGCCATTATTATTATTATTATTATTATTATTATTATTATTTCTTTGGTTTTCTGTTGGATAGACATTTTCTTTCAAGTCCCAATCAGAAGCCTAATGTCAGAAACGGCTTCATGACATCTTCCACTGATCAACTTTTTCTTTTTTCTTTAAGGCATTGCCTTTCAGGGATGCCTTCAATATGTCTATCGGATCCGTTTCGAATCAAGCCGAAGGTTCAAACCACAACTGAAACCATTGATGTCCTCATGAGCCACATTTTGAGATTTCCATTGCAAGATCATCGTGTTTTGATATACTTTTTTTGAAGATCTTCAAAGATACATTACAATTTGCAGGAACTGCCATGTCAATAAGAAAACACATTCTGTTCTTGTGGTCTTTGATCACGACGTCTGGGTGATTAGCTTTGGTTGTTCTATCTGTGTGTACTGTAAAGTTCCATAAAATTGTTACAAGTCTGATTACAGAGACCGGTTTGGATAATGTTCAATACCAGATTCTTGCAGTTTCCTTCCTGTTATTATTATTATTATTATTATTAGAAATAAAATAAAATATAAAATAAAGATCAAAAAGAGTAGAGTCAAAAATATCGCAACAAATTTAAAGCATAAGGGTAAAAAAGAATGACAGGAAGAAAAATGAAAGAAGACGACAAAATAAAAAAGGAAAAAGAAAGATAGACAAAACTAGACAGAAAGAAAGAAAAAAGAAAGTAAGAAAGAAGAAAGTAAGAAAACAGAAGAAAAAGAAAAGAAAAGTCGACTGTAAGAAGGGGCGAAAACAAAGACAGCAAAAACGAAAGAAATGAAGAACAGAAAAGAAAGAAAGAAAACAAAGGAAAGAGAAAGAAAGATGGCGGAAATAAATAAATAACACAAAGAAAGAACGACAGAAAGAATGAGAGAAAGAAAGAAAGAAAAATGAGCAAGAACCTAAAAAGAGCATCAGCAAGAAGAAAGAAAAAAACATAAAAAGAAAAAGAGAGAAAAAGGAAAAGAGAGAAAAAGGAAAAGAGAGAAAAAGGAAAATGCAACCTAAAAAAAATGAAGTAAAAAAAACAAAATAAGGACAGAGAAAAAAGAAAAGAGAAGGAAAAAAGAAAGAGGTAAGAAAGGAAGAAGAAATAAAAGTAGACTGAAAAAAGAAAGAAAAACAAGAGCAATAGAAAGAAAGAAAGAAAGAACAAGTCAAAGCTTTTCGGCTTTTACCGTTTTTATTGTGTATTAAAGTTGATGATGCTATTTTTACGCACGCTCTTTGCACCATCAGATTGACCTCACATCATTCGTACGAGTCAAAGACGATAAGGGAACAGAAGAACAAAAAACACTTGAAAAAGAAGAGAATGAATAGCAAACACACACATAAACACACACACGTGTTAAAACAACTGAGAGAGAGAGAGAGAGAGAGAGAGAGAGAGAGAGAGAGAGGGTTCCGTCGATTGTTAAGTTATGAATTGGAATTCTCACCGGAAAACCGGATCTCTTACAGGGAACAACTGCCCCACCCCTGAAGCGCCCGCGAAAAAGAAGCAAAACACGTACGAATAAGCGTTATTATAAAACACACAACAACAACGCAACGATGTGTTCGAACAATCTTTTCCTTTTGTCGCTCGTCGTCATATTCCCACTGAATAGGCAACTGAGTTACGCTAGGGTTGTGCCATCTTCAGTGAAGGTAAGTATTTTTAAAAATTTATTTTCAACTTTCATTTAGAGCCGGAGTTATTGATTAGCCTGGTCTTTAGAAATCATGTCCTTCTGACTATTACCAATAGAATTCGAGTTCGATCCTCACTGAATTACCTGCGTTTCTGCCCTCTGACTAAACTGATGAAAAATCCTCCTGTTCGTCAATGAAGTTCAGAAATATCTAAACTGTCAGCTGTATGCAACTGCTTTCTCAGATTGATGGTGAAAACGAATGAAGCCAGTAGGTCTTAGCGAGGACCATCCTAGTTCGAACGTTGTGGACTGACGAGAAACAAAATAACAAAGTTCAGATCACTTGTGAACTTCTAACAACCAAAACGGATAGCTCTTGTAACTCAACAAGAAAATAATGACATAACTAAATGTTGATGTTATACACTGCTCTAAACGAGAGGTCAGGAAAGGAACGGGAGAGATAAAGGGGAAGAAGCCGCCGAGGAGCAGAGAGAGAAAGGGAGAGAGAAAGAGAAAGAAGACGTTGAGAAGCAGAAAGAGAAAGGAAGAAAGAAAGGAGAAGACGTTGAGAAGCAGAAAGAGAAAGGAAGAAAGAAAGGAGGAGAAAACGCTGAGAAACAGAAAGAAAACGGAAGAAAGAAAGGAGGAGAAAACGTTGAGAAGCAGAAAGAGAAAGGAAGAAAGAAGGGAAAAGAAGTTGAGAAGCAGAAAGAGAAAGGAAGAAAGAAAGGAGGAGAAGACGTTGAGAAGCAGAAAGAGAAAGAAAGAATGGAGAAGATGTTGAGAAGCAGAAAGAAAAAGGAAGAGAGAAAGGGAAAGAAGATATTGAGAAGCAGAAAGAGAAAGGAAGAGAAAAAAGGGAAGAAACCGCCGAAAAGAAGAAAGAGAAATTGAGAGAGAGAGGGGGAGAAGCCGTTGAGACGAAGAAACAGCAGCAAAAGGGAAGAAGATGTTGAGAAGCAGAAAGAGAAAGGAAGAGAGAAAAGGGGAGAAGACGTTGAGAAGCAGAAAGAGAATGGGGGAAAGAAAGAGGAAAAAGACGCTGAGAAGCAGTAAGTGCAAGGGAAAATGAAGGTGGGGGGAAGACGTTGAGAAGCAGAAAAAGGAAGAGAGAAAGAGGAGGAAGCCGCTGTGAAGCAGAAAGAGAAACGAGGAGAGAAAGAGGAGGAAGCAGCCGAGAAGCAAAAAAAGAAAGGAAGAGAGAAAGGGGAAGAAGAGGTTGGGATGCAGAAAGAGAAAAAAAAAAGAGAGAGAAAGGGGGATGAACCCGCCGAGAAGCGGAAAGAGAAAGGAACAGAGAAAGAGAAAGATGATTTTGAGAAGCAGAAGGAGAAAGGAAGTGAGAGAGGGGGATGAAGCAGCCAAGAAGCAGAAAGAGAAAGAAAGAAAGGAGAAGACGTTGAGAAGCAGAAAGAGAAAGGAAGAGAGAAAAGGGGGAAAAGACGTTTAGAAGCAGAAAGAGAAAGGAAGAGAGAAAGAGGACGAAGCAGCCGAGAAGCAAAAAGAGAAAGGAAGAGAGAAATGGGAAGAAGAGGTAGGGATGCAGAAAGAGAAAAAAAAAGAGAGAGAAAGGGGGATGAAGCGGAAAGAGAAAGGAACAGAGAAAGAGAAAGATGATGTTGAGAAGCAGAAGGAGAAAGGAAGTGAGAAAGAGAAAGAAGACGTTGAGAAGCAGAAAAAGAGAAATGAAGAGAGAAAGCTAGGAAAAGAAGACAAAAAACGTAAAACGAAAAAGAGGCTATCGTGATGAATTGACGTAAAACATCGAAGGAAAAAAAGAAGAGTTGAAGAAGAAGTAATGGCATGTGTCAATGAAATGCAAGCGAATAAAAAGCAAGAACAATGCATATTGATGTAAATGAAATTAATGTGTATATTTCTTTCGTCAGAAGTGTGCCATTGTTTTTATGAACCAAAAATAGGTTATATCTCTTTAAATATCTATCTGGATAAATAGGTCATATATATTTAGAAATTGTATGTACTTAAAGAAATATAAGTCTATGACTAATGATTTGGATGTCCTGGGAATGACGATAATCTACATCCGGCATCAAGGCCCCTGATCGGGAGGTTTTTAGAAGCGTGTAACCACCTCTTAATTGCTGTTGTTCCCAGGTCTACCCTGAACCAGTGTGTTGTTCCCAGGTCCACCCTGAACCAGTGTGTTTTGGTCCCAGCTCTGGGCAAACAACGAACCCCCAAACTGGGGTCAAAACATTAAAGGATAAAAATATATTAGAAAAAATCACCAGCAATACATTTTAATAGCAACCCCCCCAACAAAAAAAACCCAAAAAAAACGAAAAAACAAACAATACCAGCTGTACATTATTGAAAAAATATTACTAGAAATACATTTTCGGGGAAAAAATACGAAAGCTCATAAGAAAATAATATTTCAGCATTAAATGACCCATAAGGTGTTGATATACCGTTAAACAAATCAAATGAATGATTGGTATGAAATATGTAAATTGGAATGTTTACACCAGCTGAATGGTTATGTATTTTCTTTTCGTGTTGACGTTTCGCTCTTGACAGGTATTATCAATACAACTAAAAAAGAACACTGCTGCCATATATGCTCTTTGGACCCCGCTGTTCGTTTAAGTTCCTCGACAAAACCCAGAGACGGATATGCAATATAATTGGCCCTGATCTGGCAAATCGTTTACGGTCGCTCTCACACAGACATGTCGTCGCTTCCCTCTGTCTTTTCTACAAATAATTTCACGGTAACTGCTTCGATGAGCTGCTTTCGCTGGTTCCCAAACTGCATGAATTTAAACGTGCTACTAGGTTGGCATCTCAGTCCCACCCTTTCACTGTCGAAATAGTTTAAAATGTAGCCGTCCCCTCTACTCCAATAGCTTCATGTCTCGCACTTCCCGTCTGTGCAACTCCCTTCCTCTTTTTTGCTTCCCTGACAGCTATAATCTTCAATGATTCAAATGCAATGTCAATCGATATCTTCAGATGCCTTGATCTAATTCCCCGTTCTTCTCTTCACCCTTTCCTCTATCACGCCTTTTTACGATTGCTCTCAATAACCCCTTGCGTGCTAGCAGCACGCCCGCCTTGAAATGCTAAAAAAAAAAAAGAAATTAAAAAAATGTCTATTTAAATAAAGAAATTTTTCCATGAAAATGAGGATATATAACCTGAATCCATAATAAAAAATTCCTAAATTTGAAGCAATAAATACTAATCATTTCAAAGAATTCCGTATATGGATCAGCTACAATAAATTAGTATAGGAGATGAGGAAATTGAACAAAGATTAGAGTGTGCTAGGGGTAGTTTCGTACAATACCGCAAATTGCTACATAACTAAAACAAATAAAAATAATCCGATGCATTAACTGTTAAAGTTATAATCCTCAAGTTAACGCTTAGCTGAGGTTTGACGATTTAATGGGATTTGGGAAATTTATTAAAATATCATAATCTTATTTTCCCTTTGTTGTTGAACTGATTAAATAGATAAACCATGGAACTTAATCCCGTTTTAATTTCAGAACCTTTTACATATTTTTATAGGTGTCATTGACTTGTGCCATTATTATTATTATTATTATTATTATTATTATTTATTATTATTATTTCTTTGGTTTTCTGTTGGATACACATTTCCTTTCAAGTCCCAATCAGAAGCCTAATGTCAGAAACGGCTTCATGACATCATCCACTGGTCATTGTTTGTAAAACAAAAAGCACAAAAAAAAAAAAAAAGATCACACACATTTTACATAGATAAATTCCAATCGTAATGTGTGAGCTATACTTTTGAGTACAACCTTTTCTTTTTTTTCTTTAAGGCATTGCCTATCAGGGATGCCTTCAATATGTCTATCGGATCCGTTTCGAATCAAGCCGAAGGTTCAAACTACAACCGAAACCATTGATGTCCTCATGTGCCACATTTAGAGATTTCCATTGCTAGATCATCGTATTTTGATATATTTTTTGAAAATCATGAAAGATAAATTACAATCTGTAAGAACTGCCATGTCAATAAGAAAACACATTCTGTTCTTGTGGTCTTTGATCACGAGGTTTGGGTGATTAGCTTTGGTTGTTCTGTCTGTGTGTATTGTAAAGACCCACACAATTGTTATAAGTCCGATTACAGAGAACGGTCTGGATAATGTTCAATAAGAGATTCTTGCAGTTTCCTTCCTGTTATTATTATTATTATTATTATTATTATTATTATTATTATTATTAGAAATAAAATAAAATATAAAATAAAGATCAAGAAGAGTAGAGTCAAAAATATCGCAACAAATTTAAAGCATGAAGGTAAAAAAAATGACAGGAAGAAAAATGAAAGAAGACGACAAAATAAAAAAGGAAAAAGAAAGATAGACAAAACTAGACAGAAAGAAAGAAAAAAGAAAGAAAGAAAGAAGAAATAAAAACGATAAAAAGAAGAAAGAAGAAAACAGAAGAAAAAGAAAAGTCGACAGTAAGAAGGGGCGAAAACAAAGACAGCAAAAACGAAAGAAATGAACGACAGAAAAGAAAGAAAGAAAGAAAGAAAGAAAGAAAAAGAGGGAAAGAAAGAATGTTGGCTGAAATAAATAAAACAAAGAAAGATCGAAAGTGAAAGATGGACAGAAAAAATAAGAGAAAGAAAGAAGGAAAGAAAAAGAAAAAAGGGCGAAAACGTGAAAAAGAACATCTGAAAAATGAAAGAAAAATCAAAAAAAAAAAAATAGAATCTGAAAAAAATAATGAAGTAATCCAAAGCAAAAGAAAAGGACAATAAAAAGAAAAAAGAAAACAAAAAGAAAAAAAAGGAAGAGAAAAGAATGGATGAGGAAATAAAGTAAAATGAAAAAAAAAAGAAAGAAAAAAAGCAATAGAAAGAAAGAAAGAAAGAAAGAAAGAAAGAAAAAGAAAGAAAGCACGAGTAAAATCTTTTCGGGTTTTGTCGTTTTCATTGTGTATTAAAGTTAATGATGTTTATCTTCATGCACGCCTTTTGCCCCACCGGATTGACCTCACACCATTCGTACGAGTCAAATAGGACAATAATGAAACAGAAGAACAAAAAGCACTTGAAAAAGAAGACAATGAAAAGAACACACACACATGCACATACGCATACACACACACGTTAAAAACAACTGAGAGAGAGAGAGAGATAGAGAGAGAGAGAGATAGAGAGAGAGAGAGAGAAAGAGAGAGAGAAAGAAAGAAAAAAGAGAGCGTGAGAAAGAGAGGAAGAGAAGGAAAGAAGGTTCCGTCGATTGTTAACTTATAAATTGAAATTTTCACTGGAAAACCGGATCTCTTACAGGGAACAACTGCCCCACCCCTGAAGCGCCCGCAAAAAAGAAGCAAAACACGTACGAATAAGCGTTATTATTATAAAACAAACAGCAACAACGCAACGATGTGTTCGAACAATCTTTTCCTTTTGTCGCTCGTTGTCATATTCCCACTGAATAGGCAACTGAGTTACGCTAGGGTTGTGCCATCTTTAGTGAAGGTAAGTTTTTTAAAGATTTATTTTCAAATTTTATTTAGAGCCGGAGTTATTTTGAAATATTGATTAGCCTGGTCATTAGAAATCTTGTCCTTCTGACCATTACTAATAGAATCCGAGTTCGATCCTCACTGAATTTCCGACGTTTCTGTCCTCTGACTAAACTGATGAAACATCAGTACCTTCCACTGAATGGTGAACATCTGGAATATGTAATCTAAGGACCCCCCCTTGACATTTTTAGTTCCTGTTTGAGATTAAATGGTTACAGGTCCTAAAATCTTATCCTTTTACCTTTCAATAAATGTAATTTCCATTGCTCTATTATTTTTTTTTTCAAAAATTGTGAAACACCCTCTTGAATGACTAAAATTCATGTTAAAAAAAATAAAAAAAACAAATGAAAACTACAGACAAAAGTTCATTTTCTCCATCAAGACATTCATTTCTGTAGTTCACTTCTACCAGCAAACAGAAAATTATTTTTCTCCTGATAATGGCCATGTTGGCCGAAACTAGTCGAGGAATCTAAATGAAATAATAATAAAAACGAAGGAATATTAATATACAACTCAGTGTGTTTGAAGATTTTAATTTTTTAATATTTTTTATTGTTCAATATATATATATATATATATAATAAAAAGGTTTAAACACTAATATTCCATGGTCATAATTAATAATATTAGTGTTTAAGCCTTTTTATTATATTCATACTCTGTCCTGGACATTGAGTTCTACCTGGATTCTATCCTCTTGGAATTTTTATTCTAAAAATATACATGTATGGGTATTTATATATTTTGCATATGTATGTATATTTACCACTAATATTATCTATCTATCTATCTATCTATCTATCTATCTATATATATATATATATATATATATATATATATATATATACAAGTATAGGATTGGTGTATACAGAATAAATTCCAATAACCAACAATTACTATTCTTAAAAAAAGACACCAGAGGCGTTGAAACAAAGTGGCTATTTTGGTAGTGATTTTATAACATATTTTTGTTATAATTTTCGAATAGATAATTATGGATTCTCCCCTCGCGAACGATGGATGAGGGTTTAGTAAATTCTTGTTTTTTTTTTTACTGAACAACTTGCACAAGCGAATTGCCCTAAAGTGACCACTTGTCTGCAGTACGCGTCAAAAATGGCGGGATTCTTTCCCTACGGAGCAAAGTGGTAAAGCCACTTCGGCAAAACTAACATTCGCACCAAATAGACCCCCCCCAAAAAAAAACCCCCAGTAAAAGAAGACCTCATATGTCGCTCTTACCGTACAATAAAAACGGAAAATGCAAATACAGGTAAAATATTCATCTTACATATTGGGAGACTCAAGCCAACTGTACAAAATATTCTTTAGAATTATTCTGAAACTTAGCTACAGCTGTACGGAAAAAAATAATCATGGCCTTGTCTATATTATTGGAATTGTCTATCGAGTACACAACAGTCTTGAGAGGAATGAGAACGGTAGAAAAAGTAGAGATACCTTACGGAAATGAGGAGTTGGGCAAAGACACATGCACGAATGGTCCGGAGATTCCGAAGAGAATTCCCTCGCCAGAGGGAAATGATCGTGGATATTAACTCCCATGTCATGCATGTGGATTCTAGAGTCCTTTCTGAGGAGATAAAAGATAGCCTGGAATTGAGGAATTAGAGGAAGTTACGGTTATTCTCACGGAGATATCAGGAGACTTCGAAGAGGAATGATTCCACGCTGTAGAAGTTGATACGAATACCACGGATGTTGGAGAAGGAAATGTTTAAGTGCTTAGGTGATTTTTTGAGCTGGTTTAGTTTTATATTTTTGATTGTTTATAGTATCTGTTGAGTTTATAGTATCTGCTTGGTAAGGAAACGGCCTAAAGTAATAGTAGCAGTCGGTCATCAAATGTGACATGTGCAGAAAAGAATTGGTGCAGACTGCAACATGTAGTCTCGGGGTTGCATTCAAGGACATGGCACTGCAAGAACCCTGATATATATGCAACTGTTGATCAAAGCAGCCTCTCAAGACGCTACACAAGAGTTCGGCCAGCAACCAAAAAACTGACAACTCCGTGCCCTCAGTATGAAGAGACGTTGCTGCACACCGTATACATCACAAGAGATTCATGACAGCACAACTACTAAGGTTAGAGAAAAGGAAAGAATCTGGAAACCCCTTCCTAAAGAGGAAACGAGATGAGCCTCTACCCCTGAGAGCAGGGGATGGAGTATTGACTGGGTGATAGAAAAGCGTATCTACACCTATTTTTTTTAAAAAAAAATCGGACAAAATAAACATAAAAAGAAAACGATCAATTTCGGTCTTGGCTTCCAGATAAATTATTATTATTATTACAGAAAACGAGTTTCACACAAATCAAATGGATAGCAAACCATGAACGTCATATCAGAAAAAATCAGTTAATCACAAAACCCCATAACATCCTACCCACTTGTAACCACAGGGTGAAGAATAACCTAATCAGCTCATACAAGATATCCTCTATCAGCTCAGGATGACCAGGATCTACTAGAACGAAACCTTATCTATCGTAACATCTACAAGAACCAAAGGCAAGAACATTTTCCCCTTAGGATGTAGGTGATTATGGCTCTCCACAATTTCCTGACCTCTTAATAAATTTTATCTTTTTGTTATCTCCACTAAACCTTGTTCCGCCATCTATTTGCTCAAGCTCCATAGGTAGGTTCTGCGTTGTTTTCCTCTTTCCCTCTTGACGTCAATCTGTCCTGTGAGTATCAAATTTTCCAAGCTCTCTTTCCTCATTATGTGCTTTAGAAATTTCAACTGATGTTATGTTTGTTTCTTATTTGTTTCCATTTTCTCTAAAACCTTGTCGTTGCTCACATTTTCTGTTTATGTTATCGTCGGCATCCTTCTATAAATCCACATTCCTGTTACTTCAAGGCTTCATCTTTGAGGAGAATGTTCAGCATTCGCTGCCTTGTAGGAGGGCGGATATTACATAAAAATTCATCTCGCTTTTCTTTGTTTCTAACGAGATTTTCCTGTATCTTAATCTTTCGCTTAGCTTCTGAAAGGCATCTTTAGCGATTCCAATGCGCTTTAGAATCTCGGAGTCGATGTCGGTATTTCCCGCCCTTTTGTTAATACACTTTCCAGGTGGTTTTCCCACTTGCTTGATTTTCTTATCCCTGATTTGTCGTCCGCATTTAGGGATGTTTTTCTTAGTGACAACTCTATATCCTGTCTTACCATAGATGATTAGTCCTTTCATGTTAGTTCAGGAGTTTCTGCAATTTCCTTTCACTGCCTGCTATCAATGCTGTATCATTTAGGAGGAATGGTATCACGTAATAGTTCAGTACTCTTAGCTTTGTTTCTAATGATATTTTCATGTTTCTTAATACTCTGCTTAGCTTTTGGAGTACATCTTTTCTCGAATTTCCTGCATGTGGAACTCCCTTCCGGCTCCATGCTTTCCAGCCAACTTTATTCTGCAAAAAATTTAAATGCAATGTCAATCGCTATCTCTTGTCCTCCTGATGGCTCTTTTCTCTTTCTGCTCATTACTAATGTTTCTCTTCCTAATTTCTCCACACCCTGTAACCCCTTGGGTGTTAGTGGCTTGACTGCCTCCCTTGTGGAACTCCCTTCCAGCTCCATGCTTTCCAGCCAACTTTAATCTGCAGAAATTTGAATGAAATGTCAATCGCTATCTTCTTCCCCCGATTGCTCTTTTCTATTTCTACTCATTACTAATGTTTCTCTTGCTAATTCCCCACACCCTGTAACCTTTTGCGTGTTAGTGGCTTTACTCCCTTACTTGTAGAACTCCCTTTTAGCACCATGCTTTCCAGTCAACTTTAATCTGCAGAAATTTAAGTGAAATGTCAGTCGATAACTATTGTCCAGCCGATTACTTTCTACTCTTTCTCCTCATTACTAATGTTTCTATTCCAAATTTTGTTAGTGGCTGTACGGCCTTGCTTGGGGTGATAGCAATTAAAAAAAATGTGAGGAGAGCATTTAGTGCGAAACAAATCAGATTTAGTTTTTATTGTCTAGACACAAGAATGTATGCATTAAATCGAAAATCGTAGCATTAGTTATGCATTCTGATTCTTCTAGGTGTCGTAACCCTTCAGCACATAGGTGATCAAGGCTCTCCACGATTTGCCGAACCAATATCTGTAAGTAGAAGCTTCCCCCCCTCCCCCACCATCCATAGATGAACCATGGAATTGTAATAAAGGAAATTCCTATTTGCAGTAAATGGGTTAAGGATAGAAAATGAAGTTTGGTTGTATTCTGCTTGCAAACAGGGAAGTTTTACAAAAGAGTAAAAATGCAAATCTTCCATCTTTTGATTTATGCACACACCATGGAGACAGTATTGTAATAAAATGGTTGAGCCGTTTTTATTTAGTTTTTATTGTCTAGACACAAGAATTTATGCATTTACTGCCTTGCCTGGGGTGATGCCAATTAAAAAAATATTTTTGGCTATCCCAATGCACGTTCTGATTTCAGTGTTACTGTTCTCGTTTTGTGTTAAAACATTTCCCAGAATAGTCCGAATATTATTAATATATATAAATCCTGCAGAAAACCCCGTAGAATATGGAGCCACAGATGCACTACACTAGGCGTTGCTGATGTTTTTCCATAGCAAATAGGGTTTTACTGGGTGGAGATGCTCACCCCACGCCCTACAAGTTTTGAATTCAAAGTTTACCTTCACCTCGGCTGATGGACGATGCTTGGGAGCCCTGTGTGTTAATAAAACTTTGGCCAATGAGGGAAGAGATCAACTTATACCTTTCCAAGTGCACTTGTACGAAAGCGAACTGAACCGTCTTGGGTGGAAATTGAACTCGCTACGCCAGCCCCACGTCAAATACCGCTACGCGCATATTATTAAATTCTTAATAAATCACTATATAAAATTTTTTTTATTGCGTCATAACTTCCAGCAGTATTTAAGAATAACTTCTTTACGTGTCGTATCCTCTTAAGGACGTAGGCGATCATGGCGCTCCACAACTTCCTGTCTTTTGTATCTCTTAATAAACTTAGTTTTTCTGTTATTTCTCCTAAACCCTGTTATGCGTTATTTCCTCTCTTCCTCTTGCCTGTCCTGTGAGTATCTGATTTTCCAAACCTTCTTTCCTCAGAAACCTCAACTCTCTCTTTCTGATGTGAAGTATGTTTACTTTTTGTCTGCATTTTCTCTAAAACTTCATCTTTGTTCACATGTTCAATCCATGGTATCCTCAGCATCCTTCTGTAGAACCACATTTCTGTTGCTTCGAGATACACGCCTAATTTTTTTTTGAATTGGTGCGTGGTGTCTTTGAGATAATTTTGAACAAAAATATTGAATTTTGAATCTAAAAAAATATGGCTTACGGCCATATCACATTTAAACATCGGTTCTCGTCTGATCACTAAAGTTAAGCAAAGTCGAGCTTGGTCAGTAGCTAGATGGGTAACCGTTTGCGAATAACATGTGTTGTAAGCTTGGATGTTCATGTGGTGTAATGGATAATGGTTCGAGATTAGAAATCGGTCAGCCAAGTTCGAATTTCAGTCGGGTTCGTTGCAATCACGAAAATATCCTTGCGCGATTATGAATGAAAAAGAGATAAGATCGTCGTGCCTGTAAGTTCCTAGATGAGTGACCGATTGGCAATACGAGGTGCTCTAAACTTGGAAAATCGGAGAGCCGTGTTCCAATTCCAATTGTATTCGTTATATTTAATTATGCGTATATACCATTGGGAAGGTATAAATCGACCTCTTCTTCCCTCCAGGTACGGGTTAATTAGTAAGACTGCCATCGCTAAAACATTATAATCCCCCTAACCCGACTACCAAATTCTTTCAATCTAAAAAAAAAAATATTTTCTACCTTTAAATATCCTGCAAAGGGTTGATAAACCGTAAAAAACGAAACAGTCAATCAACTTGTTTATTGAATGTCCTTTTCCTCACCCCTACGCGCTATCTATCTATCTATCTATCACAGCCTGTTCATATCAAATTATCTATCTCAGTATATTTTTATCTATCTATCACAGCCTGTTCATATCAAATTATCTATCTCAGTATATTTTTATCTATCTAACGCAGCCTGTTCATATCAAATTATCTATCTATCTATCTATCTATCTATCTATCTATCTATCTATCTATCTCAGCTTGTTCATATCAAATTATCTATCTCAGTATATTTTTATCTATCTATCTATCTATCTATCTATCTATCTATCTATCTATCTATCTATCTATCTATGTTAGTAGGACTTGTATCGGTAAGTTTTTATTATATACTCCCACAAAAAGCTTACAATAAAGCCGTAAAAAACGAATGGCTCAATCAAAACCAAATTATATCACTACAATCTACAAATGTAGATGCAATGTAAAGAGATTATATCCAATGACTTTATATTATTTCCATTCATAACATAGAACAATACGGGTACTTCCAGAAAGATCTCGCGGTATCTCGCGGTATCACATGGTTTCTCGTGATATCCGAATAATGAGAAGCATTAAACAAGAAATGGCTGCAGTCTTTCCCGCTAGCTTAATGGTTAACAAAATTGTTGTGACTGTTTTTTTTTTTGTTTTTTTTTAACCTCGTTCGGGTGCACGCATTCGGGCTCCCCACATTAAACCAGCCATCGTGGGGTGGAAAAAAAAAATGCAATCACTTCTTGGCCTTTTGTCTAAGATCAAAGTGTAGTATCTGGTTTTATCAGCTTAATTTGATTCTCTATCATCCTTTCCCTTCTTTCTTTCTTTCTTTCTTTCTTTTACTGACTGAAACCAAGTAGTGTCTTTCCTCCTCTTTCCACCCAATCAAAATATTCCATTATTTATGAGGTATCGGCAGGGCATAACGGTCGTGCGAATTAATGAAGGAAGGAACAAGCCTAATTATGATAGGATTATATATATTTATAAAACTTTTGTAGAAATAGTGGAAGGCCTGCTATTTAAATACAAAAATACAAGCACACACGCAAATGTACACCCACATACAGTTTGAATTGGTGATATAGGAGCTAATTTCCTTTTTTAGTCTGGCAACAACATCTGGGTAACTGGAAAAGAGTATAAGCTAAAATGTGAAACCCTATGATGTCATTTTTATGACTCTTTATTTAATGATCAATTACGACTGAATAGTCAGTTCGATCCTCATTGGGTGACCCATACTTCCAGTTGTGTGCCACATCTAAGCTACGCTTAGAAAATCACCTTAACTTAGAATAATACAATTACACTGGCATTATCATCAGGCATAATGATAATCGAAAAAAAATAGTTGTTTGAGCAATCGGGAATTTAAAATGATTCACACCGTAAATTGCAGTGTACAAGTCGAGTTTTCAAGCCTAATAAAATCTTTCAAAAATTAGAGGTCGACTTATCTGACGAGTATAAAATGCAAATCTTTACCACCGAATTGTAAACAACTAGGACAGCTCTCTTAACAATAACTGTACACCACTTACCGTACCTCCAGCAGGGTACTGTAAATATGTCCAACTAAAAGTTGTTCAAACATTTAAGCATTTCATCCCAAGAAAGGCGGGTATGCCACTAGTACGCAATGGATTACAGAGAGTGAAAGTAAGAGAAAAGACTTGGGTATATGGGGGGGGAGGATTGTGGAAAAGGAGAAAAAGAAGAATGGGGATCAAAGCATCAGAAGATGTCGATTAATATTACATTTAAGTTTTTGGAGATTATCGTTATTAAATGTGACATGTGCAGAACGGAATTGGTGCAGACTGCAACATAATTAGGCCTCGGGGTTGCCCACCGGAGGTGCATTCAGGGACACCCTTCCATGCACGACATGGCACTGCAAGAACCCTGATATTATGCAATTGTTTATTAGAGCAGTCTCTTAAGACGCTACGCAAGAGTTAGGGCTCCTAACTACCAGAGGGGAACAGCAACTAAAAAACTGTCAGCCCGATACCCTCAATATAAAGAGACGTTGACACAAACCGAGCGCTTCACAAGAGATTCACAACAGCACTACTACTAAAGCCAGAGAAAAAGAAACGATCCGGGAATCCCTTTTTAAACAGGAAATAAAGGGATGAGCCTTTACTCCTGTTCAAGAAGTGGTGGAGTATTGACCCGGGGATAGGAAAGCCTATGTACTCCTACTAAAAAAATACGGTCAAGACAAACAGCAAATAAAAACAAAGCAATTTTCAAATTGGCACCATGAGAAATTATTATTATTACAAAGAACGAGCTTCACTTAGAAAACTCAGCCTAGAGAGCCAAGCTAAGAGCCAAGCTAAGAGCCACGGACGCCTCGGCGCGGGTTATGTATTTAGAGCTCGATCATGAGCTCGAGGGCTAGAAGACCCATTGGGAGGAGAGGGTAACGGGTGATGGACACGGGAGAAGCATATGCGTCGGTGTGGGGTGTGGAGAGGGAGTCGGAAACTGAAATATAAAGTTTTAACTTAGTTTAATATTCAAGGAAATTTTTAAAGAGGAGAGAGAGAGAGAGAGAGAGAGAGAGAGAGAGAGAGAGAGAGAGGGAGAGAGAGAGAGAGGGGGTAAAATAAATTCAATTCAATTAATAAAAGAAAAGAGACAGATAGATATAGATAGATAGATAGACAGACAGATAAGGAGAAAGAGAGATAGAGAAAGATAAATAGAGATAGATAGACAGATAGATAGATAAATAGATAGATAGATAGATAGAAAATACATAGATAAATATATATATATATAGAGAGAGAGAGAGAGAGAGAGAAAAGAAAGCTAGAGAAGAGAGTGAGAAAGAAACAGATAGATCAATAGATAGATACATACAGGTAGATAGAGACAGATAAATACATATATATTTATATATTTATTTATGTTTAACATTCTTTTTATAGATACAAATATTTAAGTAAATGCTCTATTTATAATAAACAGTATTAAATAACATTTACCGGCCTGAATGTCCGAGAAATGTTCATAGAAAATATTCGTCCTCCGACAGGATTCGAACCTGTATCCTACACGGAACCGTCATATAGCCTGACGTGCTTTTACCGATTTCGTCAGAGAGCATCGATCGGTTAGCAAGGTTGAATTTACTGCTTTTTAAATATATATATATATGTAAGCAAATATATGGATATAAATCCGACAGTATGAAAGAAAAATACTGAAAAAAAAAAAAAAAAAAATTCTGAATATGCATTATTAATGTTAAAATAAAGTCGACGTCGGACGTTTCGGTCTATTTAAGACCATCTTCATGGACATTTTCATTTAAACATAATTAACATTATAACTTATAACAATTTAACACAAAAGACGATGGACATAAGAGCCCAAAGCTTGGACGAGGGAATCTATTGATCAAGTAAAGAATGGAATTTTTATCGAACTGTTTTTTAGAACTGTTCCATCGTTTTTAAAATCACTTTTGGATTTGCATTGTAACGGGAAAGACTTTCAAGCTTGTTGAAGATATAAGAACCATTGATCACTACGTATTCCAACATCAACGGAAGAGATTTCTTTAATTGTTTATAAAAATTTTTCATTCGACTTTTTGATATTTTTTAATTTTTGGAAATCATCTTCGAATACGTCTTAACAACATCGCCCACGTGACGACTACGTGATCATATTTAAACAGAACGCTGATCTGTATAAAATTTCAGTTATCTGTCTGAATTAGTTGGGCTCTTATGTCCATCGTCTTTTGTGTTAAATTGTTATAAGTTATAATGTTAATTATGTTTAAATGAAAATGTCCATGAAGATGGTCTTAAATAGACCGAAACGTCCGACGTCGACTTTATTTTAACATTAATAATGCATATTCAGAATTTTGTTTTTTTTCAGTACTTTTCTTTCATATATATATATATATATATATATATAGAGAGAGAGAGATAAAGAGAGAGAGAGAGAGAAAGAAAGCTAGAGTGAGAGAGTCAGAAAGAAACATAGATCAATAGATAGATAGATAGATAGATAGATAGATAAAGAGAGAGAGAGAGAGAGAGAGAAAGAAAGAGAGGTAAATAAAATAACATGATTAAAGAATGAAACTCAAAGACATACACACCAACATGACAAGGATATTCTTTTTTACGTGGCTGCTTAGACGAAAATTAAAGCAAAAATTGACATTTTTATGGTAATTACTACCTAGTAGGACCAAATTTAAGTTCCTTTGGGCCGAAGGGCGTCGGAGAGGGGGGGTGCAAAGCTAAGATCGTCACGTGCCAACATTCACTTCTTGTAGCAGAGACACTACATCGACCGTGAACCAGGATTAAAAATAACCTCCTATACTTGTACAAGCCATCGAAATCACTAATGACTTAATATTCAAGAAAGTTTTTAATGACGGGAAAGAGGGTTTGGTTTGGTTTAGTTTGGTTTGGTTTAGTTTGGTTTGGTTTAGTTTGGTTTACGGCATATCAACCGCAATGGGTTTATTTAATGGCGACAAAGTTTTTATTGC